TGCTGGCCCAGGTGTGCAAGACCTGGCGACGTGTGCTCTACCAGCCAAAGTTCTGGGCGGGCCTCACACCTGTGCTGCACGCCAAGGAGCTTTACAACATGCTGCCCGGTGGTGAAAAGGAGTTCGTGAACCTGCAGGGCTTTGCGGCACGCGGGTTTGAAGGCTTCTGCCTAGTGGGCGTCTCCGACCTGGATATCTGTGAGTTCATCGATAACTACGCCCTGTCCAAGAAGGGCGTCAAGGCCATGAGCCTCAAGCGCTCCACCATCACTGACGCTGGCTTGGAGGTGTGTCCTGCTGCTGGCTCAGAAGGGACAGGGTGGGGGCAGGGCTGGGCAGCAGCAATGGAGCAGGTGTGAGGGTGAGGAGAGGTGGGGAGTGGACCCAGAGGCAGCTCAGGCATGCAAGAAGCAATGTAGCTGAGGGCTGAGCCAATGCCCTGAGGGGGATCACGGCTCTGGGATAGGTGAAAGCAGGACTAGTTACATAATTTGAGCGGCCCAGTCCAAAATGGAAATGCAAGTCCCTTGTTTGAAGATGATTTAGAATTTCAAGACAGTGACAGAAACACAGCTCATTACGGGTAAGGTCCTTCTGAACACCGGCCCTGCATGCCAGTGGGAAGGATTCTAGAGGTAATGGGGGGAGCGGGGCAAAGGGCAGGGGTGCAGGTGGCGCCTTCCTTGGGATCTGGACTGTAATCATCAAATCATTAACACCAACTGTTCTGGGCACATGCTCTGGCCAGGCCATGGGCTCCCAGTTCCCTGTGCCCTGTCTCCTCTGTTAGTGTGGTTGAGGTGTAACAGAAACACTATCAAGTGCCCTTGTCCAAGAGTACAGCTCCACGTATGATTACACGAAGGACAGGGTTCCTTCTACCCTCCCTCCTATTCTCCTCATGGTGCTCTGTGGGGAGGGGCACATCCAGGGAGAACCTAGGTGAGCTTGAAGGTCATACCTCCTGACCCGCCCACAGGTGATGCTGGAGCAGATGCAGGGCGTGGTGCGCCTTGAGCTGTCCGGCTGCAACGACTTCACGGAGGCAGGGCTGTGGTCCAGCCTGAGTGCCCGCATCACCTCGCTGAGCGTGAGTGACTGCATCAACGTGGCGGATGACGCCATCGCAGCCATCTCGCAGCTGCTGCCCAACCTGGCCGAGCTGAGCTTGCAGGCCTACCACGTGACGGACACAGCACTGGCCTACTTCACAGCGCGCCAGGGCCACAGCACCCACACTTTGCGCCTGCTCTCCTGCTGGGAGATCACCAACCACGGTGTGGTCAACGTGGTGCACAGCCTGCCCAACCTCACAGCGCTCAGCCTCTCCGGCTGCTCGAAGGTCACTGATGACGGTGTAGAGCTCGTGGCTGAGAACCTGCGCAAGCTGCGCAGCCTCGACCTCTCCTGGTGCCCGCGCATCACTGACATGGCGCTGGAGTACGTGGCCTGCGACCTGCACCGGCTGGAGGAGCTGGTGCTGGACAGGTGTGTGCACCCTCCCCCACCCCCAGGCCATGAGGGCGGGGCGGGCGAGGTCAGCAGAGCTCTTTGAGCCCAAAGCCTAGATTAATGAACTGTAAATAGGGTGGGGCTGCTGCAGAGGTGAGGGGCGGGGTCCTCAAAACTCGGGCCTAGTGTGAATGAGATGGGGGCTGTGGAAAGGAAGGGGCTATTATGAGTGGGGCAGGGGGTGAGTTCACGCCAGGGGACCCCGGGAACAGGAGTAAGGGGTGGGAGCCGAGGGAAAAGGAGGGGTGTTGTGAGGGTGGACAGCCCCGCTCTGTTGCAACCACAGGTGTGTGCGCATCACGGACACGGGCCTCAGCTATTTATCTACCATGTCGTCCCTCCGCAGCCTCTACCTGCGATGGTGCTGCCAGGTACCGGCCCTCTCCGCCTCTGGCGATCGGGGAGTAGGCAGGGGGGTGGGTGGCGCGGGGAAGGCCCCGCCCGGACCGTCCTCTGATCTGCTCCCGGCCCACTCAGATCCTGTAAGGAAGTCTGGGATCCCTCCACACCCAGCGGCCGACGTAAGCGGAGTGTGCGGAGTCCCCGGGGCCCTCAACGACATTCCCCAGCTGCCTCCTGGCTCCGTGGGGGAGCTGAGAAACCCCCGTTTTGAACCCCGCTCCCTGCCCCTCCAGCAGCTCCAGGCCAGCGGCCTGACCCCAGGAGCGGGGCTCCTGCCGGGCGCGAGCGGAAATAGTTAACTCGCTCCGCCCTCCCGCCCAGGTGCAGGACTTCGGGCTGAAGCACCTCCTGGCCATGAGGAGTTTGCGTCTCCTGTCTCTGGCAGGTGAGACTACCCCCAGCCGCCCTCCTGGACAGTGGTCACCCCCCGTGCACGCGCGCGCACACACACACACACACACACACACACACACACGCACGCGCACACACTTTGTCCGCCTCCGCCAAACCTGCGGGGTCCCTTGTGCGGATCTAGGTCCAGGTAAGCGGAGGGAGATGCCCCGCAGGCTCCCTTCCCCGAGCCCCGCCCACTCAGCCACCGCCCGGTCCCCGCAGGATGCCCACTGCTGACCACCACCGGGCTGTCGGGCCTAGTGCAGCTGCAGGAGCTGGAGGAGCTGGAGCTGACTAACTGCCCCGGGGCCACCCCCGAACTCTTCAAGTACTTCTCGCAGCACCTGCCCCGGTGCCTCGTCATCGAATAGCGTGGGGTCTCCTCGCCCCGGTCGCTGGAACCCGCCTGGCTCTGGGCGGGGACCCGAGGGCGCTACTCAGACCCCTCTCCCCGCTCTTTCTTGTCCAGCACGGGAGGTCCAGCGAACCAAGGGAAAGCCCTGCCCCGCGGCCCCTCCGCTCCTGTCCTGGACCCGCCCAGGCAGGGAGAAGGGGGGGGGGGTAATGGGCGGAGCCCGCCCCATGCACGCACGCACACACTCGGGGATTTGTGCATGCCCCTCGTGCCCGCCCTGCACGCCCACCCTCCGCAGCCACTTCCCTTGAATCGCACGCCCACTGGGGGTGGGGGGTGGGCCTGGGCCTGGGAGGCCTTTTAAGCTCTCAGACGGCCGTTCTTACCGCCTGCCCCACCTCACTCCCCTCTGTCTCCCGGGGCTGTCCTCCCCGTCTCGGGAAGGGCCCACTGGGATTGAGGGGGGCTGGGTCTCCCAGGACACAGGGGCCCGAAGAGCCCCATGGGCTGCCTGCATCTTCCACCGCACCTCACCTGGAGCCCTCCAGGGGGTACGAGGGGAAACAGGCTGCCGCCAAAGCCATGGCCCTCCAAGGAGCCCAAGTCCCACCGCCCTTCCCCCACTTCATTCCAGCCTGCCCTACGCCACCTCCCCTCCTCCTTGGCACTGTGTGAGACAGTCCCCTGCTTGCCCACCCCTACCCCCAGGCCTACAAGTCCCTAGGCCCTGGCCAGACTGGGCTGAATTAGGTTGGGAGAGGTGTAGAATGGGTGACAATGACCTTGGCACAATGAACATTAGCCCAGCCAGCTTCTGTCCATCTCAACCCAGAGGTGGTACAGCTACCTTGAGAGACCCCAAGCTGAAGCAAGCCCCAGGGCCCACAGGCCTTGGGAGCAGTCCTGGGTGGACCCTTCACTGCAGCCCCTGTAGGTAGCTGGGCCCAGGCCTCTCAGTGACACACTTCACCTTGGACAGGTCTCTATAAATTAGAAACTGGAAAAGTGGGCCCCAGTCAAGGCTCAGGGTCAGCAGCAGCCAGCTTCCAGTGGCCAGCACACCCTTAGCGCCCAAAGGAGGGAGGGCTCATTTCTAGCCGCCCCCCACCCCTCCCCAGCTGCCCAAACTTTTGCTTGCCCTATTGGGCTCTGACCATGATCTGTCAGATCCTGAGACTGGGAAGTCCTAGGGGATGCTGGCACATCATGGCAATTGCTGAGGAGGGGGCTGGGACCCCTTTCCATCCCAACCTTGAACCCCAGGAGATGCAGTGCCCACACCTAATCTTGGGACATCCTGCCCCCCATCTGGTTGGAAGAGAGTAACCAGTTCTAGAGAGAGAGAGAGAGAGAACAAGAGATACTATTGAAGCATAGAAACAGTTCAACAGCCCAAAGATCTTTCTGCCCCTGGAGTGCTCACAGGAAGCTCCTGGGCTGAAGTGGTGAGGAGCCAGTTTCTTCAGCCCCTCCCACAGCTCCTTAAATGGGAGGTGGCAGCTGTCCATTTGTCCAAAGTATTAATGCAACTGAAGCTGTGATATTTCCAACGACTGTAGAAGGAAAGATTAAGGGGAGAGAGGAAAACAAAACCAACCAACCCCTAAAATCATTTTCTTATTGTACATAATGACCTCATTCTCCTGTATATGCGGAAGATATAACCTTATATTTGGTAAGTGTTTCTTGTGCTATTTTATCACGTGACCTGTTTATAAAAATATATATTAAAAAGGTTGTAAAAACATGTGTCTGAGTTGTTTTTAGGTAATCAGGCTATGATGGGGAAGGTATATCTGCCTGAGGGGCCTAAGTCTCTGGATTCTTGTGCACCTCTCAACTTATCAAACTTGTTGGTTCTTTCAACAAATATAGAGGCTGGGTGCCTTGATGCCAGGCAGAAAACCCAGTACTGACCAACAGAGAAGGTCCCTAAGCTCTCTTTGGTTCAGGGGGAAGAGACAGGCACTAAAGTCATTACACCTAATATTCTCTCCAAAATATCTAGGATCTATTCCATCCTTTCAGAAGGGCAAAAATGAGCCTTGTTTTATGCACAGGGTAAATGAGGTTAAGAGAGGGGCAGGCCCGGCTGGCATGGCTCAGTGGTAGAGCATTGACCTATGAACCAGGAAGCCATGGTTCCCGGTGAGGGCACATGCTCCGGTTGCACACATGCTCAGGTTGTGGGCTTGATTTCCCCGTGTGGGGTGTGCAGAAGGCAGCCGATCTATGATTCTCTCTCATCTTTGATGTTTCTATATCTCCCTCCCTCTCTGAAATCAATAAAAAAAAATATTTTTTTTTTAAAGAGAGGGGCAGGATGTTCTAAAAGATCACACAATGCAGCAAGGACAGACCAGAACTCAGACCCAGGAGAGAAAGGGAGGCTCATAGAGGGTCACTTAACAGGGTTGTGTGAACAGGCACTCAGGCACTGGAGTTTATGGAGACCAAGACAGACCTGCCTGGTGGAGCTCACATTCGTATGCAACAGACAACAACCAGTAAACAGAAACGGGTTGTGATGAGTGGAGGTGACAGTGATTCGGAGAGAGGCCTCGTTAGATAAGGTGGTCAGAGAAGGCCTCTGCGAACGGGACCGTAAGCTGAACACTCAAGGGTGGGAAGAAGGCGCGTTCTGGAGAGGTGGCCGAGAGGCAGGAACGTGGCGGGCTGGAATAAAGAATGGAAGTCGCTGTGAATGGAGGTACGCCGGGAGAGAAAGAGGTCATGGGTTTGGGATTTATTCACCACGTGATGGGGAGCTATGGGGCGCCTTAGTCCGAAGAATGGTAGGTAGCTGCTCTGCGGAGTTCAGATCATGGGGAACAGGGGCCCGGGAAGCCTTTAAGAAAACCTGCTCCTGGGGTTCCGGGGACATGAGGAAGGAGGTGGAGACGACTGGAGGAATTCGGGACTCGTTTAGGGATGATGCATGGACTTGACGGACCATGAGGAAACGATGAGCACTGGTAACAAACACTGAGATAAAAATAAAAAATAAAAAGAAGAAAAGAAAAAGACAACCACTGAGGCGAAACCGGAGGAGCCCCTCTATCTCAGTCCTGGACCAAACCTCCCGCCTCCAGCAGCGCCTATTCCTAACCCGGAACTTTTGTGGTGTGGGAGCTCGTTTCCGGGGAGGAACTGACAAGAAAAGGAGCACTTCGGACAAGGTGCGGGAAAGAGACGGGCTATTTCCTGTGCGTCGCTTCCGGCCCAGCCGGGCAGCTTTACTAAATGGTTCGGGTACTCGCGGAGGAAGAGGCTCCATCAGTTCCTCTGGCTCTGTTCCCGCTGCCTTCGCCCCCCAACGCCACCGCAACCTCCGAGCCGCCGACGTCTCCTGCCCCCGTCCCGCCAGACCCTCCAGGCTCCTTAAACATCTCGGCTTGAAGTTCCTCTGGGTGCCCAGCGCCTCTGTTCCTCCAAGGCCCCCTCTAGCCCTCTGCTCCGTCCCCCGGAGGCCCGGGAGCCGACTGTGTGGATGGTGGTAACGACCTCACTTTTCTGTTGGGATTGACTAAAGGTCCAGTGACTGCCTAGACCTGACTGCTGAGGGGATAGAAAGGTGGTCTGGGCAGGGACTGACCAGGTAGGGTCTTTCCCACAAGTCAGACATGGGACTGACCAGCTTCAGGGCAGCTATGGCACCTTCTGACCGCCCCGCCAGGGTGATGGAACTTGTCAATCAGACTGACTGACTGATGGTGGACTGCTCTGGACTGGCTCACCAAGACTGACTAGCCCAGGTCTAAGCAGTTTTGGGGGCTCCAACTAGGGTGAAGTGTTTGAACTGACAGATCCCCTTCCTTTATGGTGACCTGGCCAGCCAACTTCACTGACCTCCTGTCTCCACTAGCTGTACAGCCATGGAGAAGATGTCCCGGGTGACCACAGCCCTGAGTAGCAGTGCACTCACAGGCCATACTATGCATTGCCACCTGGACGCTCCAGCCAATGCCATCAGTGTGTGTCGCGATGCAGCCCAAGTGGTTGTGGCAGGCCGTAGCATCTTCAAGATCTATGCCATTGAGGAGGAGCAGTTTGTGGAGAAGCTGAACCTGCGTGTGGGTCGCAAGCCTTCGCTCAACCTGAGCTGTGCTGACGTTGTCTGGCACCAGATGGATGAGAACCTGCTGGCCACAGCAGCCACCAATGGTGTGGTAGTCACATGGAACCTGGGCCGTCCATCCCGCAACAAGCAGGACCAGCTGTTCACAGAGCATAAGCGCACGGTGAATAAAGTCTGCTTCCACCCCTCTGAGGCCCATGTACTGCTCAGTGGCTCCCAGGACGGCTTCATGAAGTGCTTCGACCTCCGCAGGAAAGACTCTGTTAGCACCTTCTCAGGTGAGGCCCTCGGAGGCGGGTTGGGCAGGTGTGCGTCTTTGCAGGTGGCTGGACTATCGAGGCAGGTTAAGACGTGCTGCATGGAGCCCTGGCCTGGTGGCTCAGTTGGTTGGAGTGTCGTGCCGTACACCAAAAAGTTTTGGTTCGATTCCGGTCAGGGCACAGACCTAGGTTGTGGGTTTGATTCCCCCATAGGGGCACATACAGGAGACAACTGATCGTGTATGTCTCTCTTTCTATAGTCAATAAAAATATCCTCAGGTGAGGATTTAAAAAAAAAAAAAAGGCCTTCCTGGGGGAGGGAACAGCTTAGCTGGGACTGAAAGAGTAGGTGGGGTCAGCAGGGGAGGGACAAGGCAGGCCTAGTTGAAGTGTGAGGAGTAGCTGGAGTGTGGCTGCAGCTCTGATGCATCTGAAAGGACAGCTGGGTATTGGATGGAAGGGCAGAACCTGAGCAGACCTACAGCCAACCTCAGTGGTTGAGCAGATGGTTGTTTCACTGCTTCCTCTTCCCTTGCCTCAGAGCCCCAGGCTGCCTCATTGCAGGAAATCCAATGGGACTTTCAGGGTCCTCAGCCCAGGGATGCAGAGGTGGGGTGCACTGCCTGGTCCCACTATGGCTCTTTTCCTAGCAGGCCCAGCTCCCTGACAGTGGTCTTGAGACAGTTCTCCCTTGTCCATCTCAATGAAACCAAGTGAAGCACAGGGCAGAGTCCTTGGAGAATTGAGGGTGGGGTTCCCTTAAGACAGACCCTGAGCTACCTGTGCTGGGGTAAAGCTGCACACTGCGCTCAAAGGCTCTCGGTGTGGCAGTTTATGGTGGTGGACACGGACCCTCAAAGCCTCCAGTCCTCTGGATTTGACCCAGAACTTCAGCTCAAGGTGGAGGGGCTGGGCAGAGGCTGAGGCACCCTCATCCATGCCTCCTTGGGCCTCCTTCTGGGGCCTCAGAACTCGTTGGGGGGCATGGACACGTGGTCCAGTGAGACTCCTGTTCACCCAATGTTCTGCCACCCAGTCCTGAAGCTAGGCCACAGCTTTGTACAAGGACTGACATCAGAGAAGAGAATCCAGGGAAAAGCAAGGCCCAGGAGTTTATATCAGAAACCACCTGATGCCACCCTGGCCGATGTGGATCAGTGGTTAGAGCATCGGCCTGTGCACTGAAGGATCTTGGGTTCGATTCCTGGTCAAGGACACACACCTGCATTGCACCTTCTATCCCCAGCCCCAGTTGGGATATGTTCTGAAATCAATGGAGAAATGTCCCCTGGTGAGGATCAACAAAACAAAAGAAACCACCTGATGCCTGGTGTCCTGCTCTCCAGCCCAGGCTGTTGTGTCTGTGCAGCCTCTCCTCTTCTTGTCTATTCTAGGCAGGACTCGAAGGGTCCACAGCCACTCCCAGGACTCCCCTCTTGGCCACTCTCTCTTCTGGAATCCCCTGTGGGCTTCACCCCCTCACCTTCTCCCTCCATTGACATCCTACCCATAGGCCAGTCTGAGAGTGTGCGGGACGTCCAGTTCAGCATCCGGGACTACTTCACTTTCGCCTCCACCTTTGAGAATGGCAATGTGCAGCTCTGGGACATTCGGCGGCCTGACCGTTGTGAGAGGATGTTCACAGCCCACAATGGGCCTGTCTTCTGCTGTGACTGGCACCCTGAGGACAGGTATAGGGCGGGCTGGGGCAAGGGCATGGGTAGGACGGGATGGGTGGCACTCATGGAAGGACTCTCTCTCACTGCCTCGAGTCCTGTGAGTCAGAGAGTGGGGAACCCTCCCACCCCAAGAGAAGAAACTGAGGGCTTCATGCGCCTTCCATAGGGGCTGGCTGGCCACAGGTGGGCGTGACAAGATGGTGAAGGTCTGGGACATGACCACCCAACGCGCCAAGGAGGTGCACTGCGTGCAAACCATTGCCTCGGTGGCCAGAGTTAAGTGGCGACCTGAGTGCCGCCACCACCTGGCTACATGCTCCATGATGGTGGACCACAACATCTACGTGTGGGATGTGCGCAGGCCCTTTGTACCAGCAGCCATGTTTGAGGAGCACCGCGATGTCACAACAGGCATCGCCTGGCGCCATCCGCATGACCCCTCCTTCCTGCTCTCTGGCTCCAAGGACAGCACACTGTGCCAGCACCTGTTCCGTGATGCTAGCCAACCTGTAGAGCGTGCCAATCCTGAGGGCCTCTGCTATGGTCTCTTTGGGGACCTGGCCTTTGCCGCTAAGGAGAGCCTAGTGGCTGCTGAGTCAGGGCGCAAGCCCTATGCTGGTGATCGGCGCCAGCCCATTTTCTTCAAGCGCAAGCTGGACCCTGCTGAGCCCTTTGCAGGTCTCGCCTCCAGTGCCCTCAGCGTCTTTGAGATGGAACCTGGCAGTGGCAGCATGAGCTGGTTTGTGGACACTGCTGAGCGTTATGCCCTAGCTGGCCGGCCACTGGCTGAGCTCTGTGACCACAATTCAAAAGTGGCTCGGGAGCTTGGCCGAAACCAGGTAGGTGGGGCTGAGGGGGACTGAGGGACCATGACCTTGGGGCAAGGTCAGGGGACTCCTTTAACTGCTGCTCCCAGCCCCTGCCCTGAGTTCAATTCACCAACCCTTACCTGCCCCAGTAACTGAGGGTGCTCAGGGCCCCAGAGCAGAGCAAATACTAGTGCCATCCTGGGGGTATAATTTGGGGGCATCATGGGGCTTAAACCCCCAGTCTGGCTCATTCTTGCTTCAGACTTCCTAAGGTTCCTGGCCTTGTAGAAGTCCACACTGCCTCTCTCATCATCTCCCTGGGGGATGAGGCTTATTTCCTCATCAGCCACCTCCCACATCTGCTTCTGTGCCCTGCAGGATGGGGGCTGGGATTTTGGTCTTTCCCATGGGCCTCAGTGTCCCTACCTGAGGTGGGCCAGGACACTGGGTCCCTGGGCAGCTGAACGCAGAGAGTTTATAGTTCCATCCAGGCAAAGGGAGGGCCTGCATGGGGCACCAGGGACCCAGGACCCCATGAGTGACCAGTGCCCACTCCTAGGTGGCACAGACATGGACCATGCTACGGATCATCTACTGTAGCCCTGGCCTGGTGCCCACTACCAATCTCAATCACAGTGTGGGCAAGGGCAGTTCCTGTGGCCTGCCACTCATGAACAGGTAGATCCCTGGCGGCGGCTCTCTCAGAGGGTGGGACTGCTGGAGCCTACCCACCTATCAGCCCTCCCTGCCCCCAGTTTCAACCTGAAGGATATGGCCCAAGGACTGGGCAGTGAGACCCGGCTGGACCGCAGCAAAGGTGACACACGGAGCGACACGGTGCTGCTTGACTCCTCAGCTACACTCATCACCAACGAGGGTAGGCTAGAGGGCGACACAGGGTATTGATGGGAGTGGGGCTGGGCATCCCAAAGCAAGCCAGCTGTGTAAATCCCTCCCTCCCTCATGAGCAGATAACGAGGAGACCGAGGGTAGTGATGTGCCTGCTGACTACCTGCTGGGCGATGCAGAGGGCGAGGACGATGAGTTATACCTGCTGGATCCAGATCACGCCCACAGTGAGTGGGGGCTGGGAGGGGCACAGCTGGGAGTCAGGGCCAGAGGCTCAGACCTTGCCTTCCTGGCCCCTGCCCCACAGCTGAGGAGCCTGAGTACGTGCTGCCCCAGGAGGCCTTCCCACTGCGCCATGAGATTGTGGACACGCCACCAGGGCCTGAGAACCTACAGGACAAGGCAGACTCACCCCATGTGAGCGGCAGCGAGGCAGATGTGGCCTCCCTGGCGCCCATGGACTCCTCCTTCTCGCTGGTCTCTGTTTCACACGCACTCTACGACAGCCGCCTGCCACCCGACTTCTTCAGCGCCCTGGTGTGCGACATGCTACGCTTCTATGCTGAGCAGGGCGATGTGCAGATGGCTGTATCCGTACTCATCGTGCTGGGTGAACGTGTGCGGAAGGACATAGATGAACAGACGCAGGTTGGTGAGCGGGCCGGAAGGAGGGCCTCCCTGCACACCTGTCTGGGCTTGTACCCAGCATGCTGGGGTGAAACCCGTGCCCACGACCCTGGTCTCTTGCTTCCCTCTGCCCTCCCCGCACCACCAGGAGCACTGGTACGCATCCTACATCGACCTGCTGCAGCGTTTCTGCCTCTGGAACGTGTCCAACCAGGTGGTCAAGCTCAGCACCAGCCGTGCTATCAGCTGCCTCAACCAGGCCTCCACCACTCTGCACGTCAACTGCAGCCACTGCAAGCGGCCCATGAGCAGCCGCGGCTGGGTCTGCGACCGGTGCCACCGCTGTGCCAGCATGTGTGCCGTCTGCCACCACGTGGTCAAGGGCTTGTTCGTGTGGTGCCAGGGCTGCAGTCACGGGGGCCACCTGCAGCACATCATGAAGTGGCTGGAGGGCAGCTCCCACTGTCCTGCTGGCTGCGGCCACCTGTGCGAGTACTCCTGATCTGGTCCCGGGGAGGGAGGAGCCTGGAGCTTGTGAACCAAATAAAGGAAACGGAACCACAGACTGAGGCTGCCCTGTCCTCTCGTTGAGCAACTCTGTGGGGCGGGAGGGCAGTGCCCCTGGGAACTGGTAGAAGTCGCTAGTAGTTCTGTCTTCCCTCTGCTTTCCGGAGATAACGCCCCTTCTGGGGCGGGCCAAAGGAGGCCGCTTCCGGGAGCCCTCCCAACGCCAGGCTGTTGCCACAACGACGGAGTTCCCAGCGTGCCTCGCGGCGGCGGGCTCATGGCGCGGCGGCGGGGGCACAGTCTCTTGCTGCTAGTGCTCTGGACGCTGACGGCTCCCGCCCGGCCCGGCCCCGGAGAAGAGGGCGACGGAGGGTGGTGAGCGGCGCTGGCCGGTTGGGGAGGGGGCGCACAGCGGGGCGGCCTGGGTCGCTGACGGGCTGTGCCCACAGGCAGCGGCGCGGAGCCGCCCCGGCGGCGGTGGCGGAAGAGGAGCGCTGCACCGTGGAGCGCAGGGCCGACCTCAGCTACGCGGAGTTCGTTCAGCAGTACGTGTGCCTCCCATGCTGCCCCACCTCCCAGGCCCCAAAACCCGCCCAGGAGCGCTGTCACGCCCTTATTTGCCTGCGCGCACCGGGACCCCCCAGGACTGCCTCTCCTTGAGCGAATGTGTGGGGACGGGTCGGGCCAGACTTTAACTCTGCTGTTCCTTCTAGCTACGCCTTCTCCAGACCTGTCATTCTGCAGGGACTCACAGACAACTCAGTGAGTACTGGTTCCTCTCCTGGCCACCTCTCCCCCGTGTGGGTCGGGCCCTTAAATACTCTCTCCACCCCCAACCCCCAGAGGTTCCGGGCTCTGTGCTCCCGCAAAAGGCTGCTGGCATCATTTGGGGACAACGTGATTCGGCTGAGCACTGCCAACACCTACTCCTACCAGAAAGGTGAGCTGCCCCACCTCGCAGCCCAGCCTGCTTGACGGCATCCTGGAGGCACCAACCAGTTCTGACCGGCCTCCCCCCCGCCCCCCCCCCACCCGCAGTGGACCTGCTCTTCCAGGAGTATGTGGAGCAGCTGCACCCCCAGGACCCCACCTCCCTAGGCAATAGTGAGCACTTGGGCTGGAGGCAGTGGGTTGGGGAGGTGGCACTTGGAAGTGCCCAGGTGCCAGGATCCCTGCTTCCTCCTGTGTTCTTTGCTGACAGACACTCTGTACTTCTTTGGGGACAACAACTTCACTGAATGGGCATCACTTTTTCGGCATTATGTCCCACCCCCATTTGGTCTGCTGGGTACCACTCCTGCTTACAGCTTTGGGATCGCAGGTGGGTGCCTTACAAGACCAGGGGTTTTGGGGATGGGGAGTGCAAATTGGGTTTGGTCACTAGCTGCTCATAACTAACCCCACAGGAACTGGCTCTGGGGTGCCCTTCCACTGGCACGGGCCTGGGTTCTCAGAAGTGATCTACGGACGAAAGGTCAGCATAGGGTTATGACTGAGACTTCTGGCTCACTGACCACAATACAAAGAGTGACCTTGCTGCTCCCACCTCCAGCGCTGGTTCCTATATCCTCCTGAGAAGACACCGGAGTTCCACCCCAATAAGACCACTCTGGCCTGGCTCCAGGACACCTACCCAGCCCTGGCACCATCTGCACGGCCCTTGGAGTGCACCATCCAGGCTGGTGAGGTCAGTGGCTGGTAGGAGAGGGTCAGGCTGGGCTGGACTGAGGCCCCCTGGCCCCCACCCCCGCTAATCTGTGCCCTACCCAATCCAGGTTCTGTATTTCCCTGACCGATGGTGGCATGCCACACTCAACCTTGACACCAGTGTTTTCATCTCTACCTTCCTCAGCTAGCCAGAGCGGGCAGCTGACGAGCCCAGTCTCACACCAGCACACATCCCTATACTGCTCACAGGTTTTATTACAAGGATAGTAGTGGCAGCAGCCTCAGCCAAAACCACCATAGCCTGCTGTTTCAGGCTAAGAAGGGAAATGGGGGAGAGGGAGGGGGAGGGCTCATGGCCTACCAGCAGAACTGATAGAAGATGGGATGGGGACACCAGAGTAGGGGTCCAGGGACACAAACTATATACAGGAGCGGAGGGGGGGTACTGCCCCAAGGCCCTCCGGGGTCAGGGTGCCAGGCGAGGTGGGAGGAGTTGCCCTCCCACTTGCTGTGCCTCAGTAGTCCTCCACCCAGCCATTCTCAGAGATGAAAGCATCGATGACCTCTTTCATGGCCAGGTTGGGGATGAGCTGTTCCTGGGTCAGAGGGCTCCGGGTCACAGGGTCAAAGTGGCCCACACGCTGCAGTGACAACAGAGTCAGAAAGTGTTTGGTGGGCTGGGGCCCTGCCCCCAGCACCCATAGGCCCTCACCTGCAGGTGCTCCTCAATGTCCTTACGGTCATAGGTGATGCCACTGGGTGTGATGCACGGCTCCCGCATCAGCTCAAAGCTGATTTTGCCACACAGATAGTCAGGGATGTCTCGCTTCTGCATCACAAGGGTCAGGGATCAGGAAGGGGACGCTACTACAGATCCTGCTACCTACAGGCCCTAGAGAACAGCCAACTCACCTTTCTCTTCTCATCCACCTGGGAGAAGAGGTCATCCATGTCTGCTAAGTACTTGTCCTGCAAATAACCAAGCAGCCATGCATGGGCCAGACTTCCCATCTCCCTTCCCCAGACACAGACACACACAGGAGCCAGGGGCACCCTCACAGAATGTGCACACAAACACAAGACCCACACGTGGGCCGGGGCACCCTCACGTGCTTGGCCTCGATGCAGGCCTGCTGGGCCCGGACGTGGCCATCATCCTCATCACCCTCATGGTTCCGCTGACACTCTTCCAGCTCCCTGGGGGTTGACCAGGAGCTGGTCAGAGACAGATCTGGCCAGGAAAGGTCAGACTCCACCCCAACCTCAGGCTTGTTCAGGCCTGCTCCCCCTGTCTTCTGTTCACCAGGGTTAGCCTTCAATAAACACTTGTGTTCATGACTTAAAGTGGTGACTTGTTGGGGGCAGGGGAGGGGGGTTCCCAGAGTCTGTCATCACAGCCCACCTCTCACGCTCGGCCACAATGAGTCTTGTGAGGTAGGAGTGCAGCTCATTCTCCTGGTGGATGCGCCGCTCCTCAATGCTATTCCAGCGCTTCTTCTTGGCGATGCGCAGAGCACTGGGGATGTCATCCCCAAAGTTGAGTCGCTGCTCCTTAGCCAGGTTGTAGGCTGGGGGGACAAAGGCTTCAGGTCACCCTTTGGCCAGTCCACCCACCTGGTCCCAAGTACCCCCATAACCAGCCAGCCTGCAGACCCACCTCGCTGCAAGTTGGCAATCGCCTCATCATAGCTCTCCATCTCCAACTGGCATTGCCCCAGGAAAAAGTGTGCCTTCACGGACTGCCCATCCAGCTCCAAGGCGCGCCGGCAGTCAGCCAGGGCCTGCTCGTGCTGCTGCATCTTCAGATAGCACAGTGCCCGGTTGGTGTAATACACTGCCACCAGGGGATTCCGGGTCTGGGGACCAAGGCAGGCCAGTCAGCGTGAGGGAGTGAACTCAGCCTGCCCCCTCTGTCCCAGGCCTTGTCCTGCCTTGGGGTCCATGGTTGAAATCAAGACACTAGAGGTTTTACAGCTTCAAAGCCTTTGAGGCCTGAGGACGGGTGGAGGGTGGTGTCCTGGCCCTGAGGCCTGCGGGAGCCCTCTCAACTCCAGTAGGTTTTGTCAAGTTAAGAGTACCGGAACTGTGGAGGTCCCCAGCTTTGGACGGGGTCCCTGGCCCTGCCGGCCTCAGGCGCCCTGAAGCTCCCACCCGACATAGGTCTCCGGCAGCCAGCACTGGGTTCAGCCTTGGCACCTTTGCAACGAGATCATCGAGTCCTCAGAGCCTACGTGCTCCTTCCCCGTCAGAACCACGGCCCTCCTAAGGTCCGAAAAGGGCGGCCGGGCAGCCCGGCCCCACCCCCTCCTCTGGCCCGGACGCCGGA